GCACGTTGCGCGCGCGGGCCCGCGCGCGGGATCACCGGACGCCGTCCCCCCCGTTCCCCCCCCGCCGCGGCGCGAGGGCGCCGCGCGCCTTCCCAGCCCTGCTGGCCCCGGCCCCGCCGCGCCCCCTCACAGCTCCCGGTAGGTAACGCCGGCGGGAACCCCCACCGCCCGCACCGCCATGGAGGCGGTCGGGAACGGGCCGCGCTCCTCATGCTGCTCGGCCCGGGCGGCGGCCTCGCCCCTGCCGCCGTGGGAGAAGGGTCGGCTCGACCGCGCCCCGGCCGGGCCTCGGGGCCGGAGGCTGCGGGGATCGCGGCTCGCTGCCGGCGTGGGCACGGCCCGGGCCGGCGCTGCCGCACACGCGGTACGTCATCCCCGCCGCCCCGGGTTTGCGCCAGCTGGGCTCGGGGAGCGCCGGCGCTGCTGCCGCTGCTCCGGGAATGGCTCCCTGTGGATGCAGCGCGCGATCCTCGCCTGGCGGCGGTGGCCTGGCTCTGGGAAAGGGAACGCCGGCATTTTGCTCCTATGAAAACGGGGAACTTCCTCCTGGCGGTGGGGGGAAGGCCGTATTTTGCCGTCTTTTGAGGGAAGCTGGTATCCACGTGGGCGCTTGTGGGGCGGTGAGGAGAGGGAGCCTTCCTGCAGGTGCCATGAGATAGCGGGGTAAGGCCCTTTGCTGCGAAAAACAAAAGGAGTCGGCAGGGCTTTCCTCAAGGACCATGGTGGTGTTTCCTGCCTGGAATGCGCTTGGATACTTCACCTGCAAGTTCCTGTGACAGTTTGCACGCCCTAATTTAAGTTTCCCTGCTGTGGTTCCTTCCATAAACTGCAGTCCTAAACCAGTGGTCATGAAATACTTTCATTAGTTTCATTAGATTGCTAATTCATGGGTTCGTTCTCATGCATTTCACTTCATGTTAAGGGGAAACGTTAAAGATTGAGTGATAATTAATACTGCTCAGCACAAGCTAAACACACCCACTCGTTCTGCAGCGTCAGTATACTCGACCATATGCTTTCATGTTAACATATTTTCTTATTCATGTCGTGTCTTATGAGTAACATAATGATTTAATACAGTAGGGAAATCTGGGGCATGTCTGAACTTCTTTTTTTACATTGCCTCAGTTTCTAAAACAAATGTGAAAACCTTAAGCATAGACTAGTTCTTGTATCATTTACTATTTCTGCTTTGATACTTACAGATGTAGTGATCTCCTATATGCAGTTTGAAAACCTGTTTTACCTTTGATTTCAGTTTTCTTTGGGTATTCTAGTTCTTGGCTTTATGGTGTTGACTGTATGTAGTCCATTGGCAATGGAACTGAGAGGCAATTCTTCAGCTTGTTTTCAATGGCAGCTGGAAATGCTGCTCATCATCACTTCTTTCCACAGCATTTCTCTCTGAGTTTTGATGCAGTGTAATGTTATAAGGTGTTCACTTGTGCAAAGTGACTAAAGCATGGCACAATTCTGAACCCAGACCTTGCCTTCGCATCTTTCATTGAATGGTTTCTGGTTCTGTTTCAGCCTTCATTTACTTTTAATGTTTAAATTTTTCTTTGTTTAAGCCTGAATAATTCAGTGCAATTACAAATCCTTCTCTGTCATAATTGCCTTGACATAGTAAATTATAATTTAGCTCTAAAGCCTGTGAAAGAAATAAGTATTATTAACGCAAGCACATTGCACGTGTTCTACAGATTGTACACTGCTGTTGCCTTCTGTGACAGATAGCAAGGTCTGCATGTGAGCAACTTTTTTTTTTTCTTTGTAATCTGGTGTGTCAGGGTGTACAGCAGCTGGTCAGACAGTCTAACACTGCTGACCTAGAATGCTTGTGATAACATGTTTGGTGTCTTATTTTTAGACATGTTTCATTTTTTGTATTAAATTACGTAATTGAATGTAATGGGCAGCTTTTGGCTTTAATGAATGATACTGACAGGGTTTTTACATTTTCTTTTTTCTCTAGCCAGCAGTTTTTAGTCATTCTCTCCTTCCTTCACCTGTGTTGCCAGTCCATTCTGGGAAGATTTTCTGCTGCCACACCATCATCATTCAATACCTGTAAACAGCTCTTTACCCTAGTAGTTAGTAGCAAATTAGTATTTTCATACTCTGTTTTTTATGCTGTTCTTCTTGATATGGAAAAGAGAAGCACAGTCATGAAGTCAAAAGCTTCTGAGTACCAGTTTCTCCTGCCCCTGAAGTGCTGACTGCACTGCTCGGTTACTGGTGTGCTGTACTGTAATGTTACTGGTCTGTGTTCAGTCTCCTGAGAGTTCTGCATCTGTTCCTTGGAATCAGACCATACTATTCCATATGTTAATTGAAATGCCACTCAGCTAGCTGGATGTAAATATGTAACTTGAGTTCACTCTGGTTTTGGACAGTTTATTTGTTCCTAAGTAGATATTATTATTTTCTTTTGTGGACAGTTGTCATTGTAGGTATCAGCACAGTCCTGGAAATACTACAGAAGTTCCAGGAGTCACAATTCTTTTTTTTTTTTCTGAAAATGGTTAAGACCACTAGAGAGTTTTGGATAAACTGACACTTCTGTCACATAGATGGGAGCAGAGTGGGAGGAGTATGTGTCTTCATGCTGCTTCATTGCTTCTATTTCCCCCTCCACATACTCTAATAAATGCTTAGTGTACCTGCTTAATTCACTGACCCTTTCAAAACTATCCACCACAGATTGGGCATTTTCGTGTAAGTTACATTCTAACTTACATGGGCATTTTCCCAAGTAAGTAGAGTTAGAAAAATACCTAAACTTGGTATTTCATTGCTTACCAACCACAGTCTGATTCAGCAGTGAGTGTAAACTTCAGTCTCATTATCCCGCCAAGACTGGGGAAAGCTTGCTGAGGAACTTGGCAAGAGTTGCTTGTTTCAAGCCATATTTGCCTTGGTGGCTGAGAGCAGCCCTGTCCCACTCTCCTGCTGTGGAGCTTCAGGCTAATCCCTGGCTGGAGGGGCGGGTGGCTGAGGGGAGATGTCAGGGCTGAACTTGCAGCAGGGTTTGGGGGCTGGGGAGGGCAGCCTGCTTCAGGCACAGCAGGTTTGCTTCTGGGGCAACCCACAGAACTGCTTCACTGCTGCCTGCAGCTCAGGTGGAAGATCCACAGTGCCTGTCTGCTCAGGCCTAGGAGAAAGAGCCTGAGAAAAGAAAACAGAGTATGATTCACCCCCAAATACTCTCTGCACTGTAAATGGCAGGATTTTAGTGAAAGGCACTGGGATGTCTTCCCAAAGAATGTATCTTTATTTGAAGTAATGACAACATCCAGTATCTGTCCCCAAGAAAATTACCCTGAATAAAGCACCTTTATAGCCTTCAAAAACAAGGCTTTCAGTTTGTTGTTTCCTGATGTATTAAAGTGAGAACTGCAGACTCATTATTCCATGCCTGTTTGCCTGGTCTATGGGTGCAATTTCAATGTTCAGCCCTACTTTGTTAGTCTGGTCTGACAATACAGAAGTGTTGAATATCTTTTAATTTTTTTTCTTATATTTAGTCATTTATTTGAAAACATCAGCTTTGTTAATAGGACTTTCTGGCTTAGGATATTTAAAATAGTAAAGGAAAAAAAAGAAATGTAAGTCAAAACTGCCACAATATGGTTGGCAGGGTGAGTAGTAGTTACATTCATTTATAGGTGATGAAGAATATCTTTTGACATTAGCTTAAAAATACTTTGGAAACTGAATAAAGGAATAAGACTACCAGTTTTTAAAGGAACCACTTGAAATACTTGTACCTATGTTAGTAATGGATTTAAGGATACAATAACATCAGCTTTTCTGACCTTCGCTGTTGGATGTTCATCTTTCAGATATTGCAGTAATATCTGGAGGAGTCTTTCCAACTGAAGTCTATAGAAAAGTAGAATTTAACATGATAAATGTGCCATACACCCATTTTATTCTTGCTTCCTTCATGAGTCTGCAAGTCACAACCTTTCTTCATCCAATAGCCATATGTAGTAAATACAGTCTGTAAACCACTGCAGGATACTTTTGTTTGGTGAAGCAAAGATGAGCTGGACATCTGAAAACAAACTTCCCTTCATTAGAAATGTTGGAATCCTTTGGATGCAGCTGCACCTTTGCACTGTGTGGAAATCTGAAGTATTTCCAGACTCCTTCCCAGTTATATCACTGAACTACTGATACTGCATTGAAATGATTTTGAACGTGCATCATCCGTAGAGCTGCCATCCCTTTATTTAGTGAGATGGAAATGCTTTGTACTTTATGGCATTTATTTAAAAAAAAAAGTCATCTGCAATATCTTAAAATCTTCCAAGGGCCTCATAAGTCAGTTGTCTTTGTTCTTCTGGAGCTGGAGGGAGTTGTCCTTGGGTGTGTCTTGTTCATAGGAAGATAAAAGTCATTACTATTGTTATTTTCATTATTATGAGTGAATATAGTAAACAAAATTGAAATGTACCTTAAAACACATTCCACCTTTTTTTGTCTGTCAAGACTTAAATTTAAAATCCCCTGCCCTTCCCTCCACTTGCTGCAGCTGTACAAAGTCCCATTACAATCCAGTATTTGTCAATGTACATGCAAAGAGGGGCTTATAGAGAGGAGTACAAGTCATCGTTTCACTTCTTAGCATGCATTTATTTGTGATTTCAGGAATATTTAATCATCTTGTATCCACAGATTATAGAGTTTTTGATGTTGGAAAAGACCTCCAAGATTATTGAGTCCAGCCATTAACCCAGTGCTGGCTCCTAACCTGTGTCCCTGAGGGCCACATCTACATGTCTTTTAAATGCCTCCAGGAACGGTGGCTCAACCACTTCCCTGAGCTGCCTGTTGCAGTGCTTGTGCACCTTTCAGCAAAGATAGTTTTCCTGACATCCAATCTAAACCTCCCCTAGTGAAATCTGAGGCTGTTTCCTCTCGTCCTGTCTCCTGTTTTTTTGAAGTAGAGCCCCGTCCTCCTCCTTTCAGACAGTTGTGGAGAGTGAGAAGGGCTCTCTTGGGCCTCCCTTTCTGGACTAAACATCTGCAGCTCCCCCAGCTGTTCCTCAGACGGGTGCTCCAGACCCTTCCTGGGCTCGCTGCAGTGACTTTCTTTAGCGAGGGGCCAGAGCAGGACACAGCACTCAAGGTGTGGCTCTGCCAACTCCAGGGGGACAATCCCTGCCCTGCTCCTGCTGGCCACATTACACTGATCCTTCTTGGCCACCTGGGCTCAGCTGGCTCGTGTTCTGTCACCAGGTCCTTTTCCACCTGGCAATTTTCCTTACGCTCTTCCCCAGCCTGTGGCACTGCCTGGGGTTGTTATGACCCAAGGGCAGGACCCAGCACTTAGCCTTACTGATCCTCATGATCCCCATTGATCCAGCTTGGCCAGATCCCTTTGCAGAGCCTTTGTATGTTCTTTATAAAGAATTTTACTTATTTTTATTGAAGCCTGTTACAGGTATTGATACCTTAATGGGAAATGCAGAAGGTAACTGTAGTTATTCAGATACTAATGAAACTCAAGATTAAAGAATCAAACATCATCATGAATATCTGCTCACATTGCCTGGTTTACTTTTTATACTCAGTTACAAATTTCCACTTTGAAAACTGGTTTACATTTTACACTGTTTTAATCTTTTAATACAGAATATTGGCATACAGTTTATAAATGTATATTCTAATCAAATCCTTGGAGTAATAGTTGTAGTCAGAATTTGACAGTGTGAAGAAGAGTGCTTTATACCAGGCAACTTGTAAAACTAAAATTTGGAGTTGTCTAGATTCTTTTCTTATTACTACAGTGTGTTTTTTTGGAAACAAATCCATTTTCAGATAAATCACAATTTTATTTTTACTCTGGAAAAATAGTAATGGGACGGAAAGGTGATGTTAAAAAATTTGTGCAGTTATCTACACATCAGTGCCCTTGTTATTTGTATTTCTAACTTTGCTGTTTGCCATGTTGCTTAAAGGAGGAAAAAATATATAATAATTTTGAATTTTTCATCTCTGCCCTCTGCTAGTAATAACTTAGATTAGATACGTCTGTTCTCTGTGCTGTCAGTAACCTGGTCTCTTATGGGGTTTTTTTTCTTTTTCTTTAAGGTTTGGAAGACTCCCACTACTCCTTATAATTGGTGTTTGTGTTTAACCCTAAATTGTGCATTATGGCAGACAAATTAACAAGAATTGCTATAGTCAACCATGACAAATGTAAGCCAAAGAAATGTCGTCAGGAATGCAAGAAGAGTTGTCCTGTGGTTCGAATGGGTAAGAGATACAATGTAACAAGGTATTGAAGCCATTGGAGACCTTTTAAATCAGTTCTACTGGGAGGAATGAGCTTTTTATAACTGACAGATTTCTGTGTATCATTCAAGCTTTTTTTTTAAATAAAACCTTTAGAAATATCACTAAAAGCATCAACACTTTTCAGTAATAATGACACTTTTCACGCCTTTGGGTAATCTGAAGCTTCAGTGAAGATTCATCAGTTACAAGTTCCTCTGTGGAATTTAGTAGGCAGGAATTATGATTCACCAGAAACTTTACTGATCTTATCTTAATTTTTTTTTCACCAGGAAAACTTTGCATAGAAGTCACATCACAGAGCAAAATAGCATGGATTTCAGAAACACTTTGTATTGGTTGTGGTATTTGCATCAAGGTAAAAATTAAACTGCTTTATTTAAAGTGCTCATTTTTCCTTATTTTGCTATTATATTTAGCAATGCATACTGTAACTTCAAAAAGCAGTTTTCTTTCCTGGACTAATCAGACCAAGTTAACTTACTTATTATAGAAAGTGAAGAACGGTCACTTGACTGAACTGGTTGGGTTGCAAGGTGTGGGTTTTGTTTGTGGCTTTGTTTTTGCTTGGCTTTGTTTGGGTTTTTTGTTGTGTCTGTAGACAATTAGCAGCAGAAAGATTTTTTTGAGAAAGCTGGAGAAAATATGCAGTGTGCCTTATTTGTAGTGTAGTCTGACAATCTAAATTGCAGACTACTAATTTGAAAAATGTGGTACAGAACTTTCTTGGCAGGTTGACCATGTAAAGGAAATTTGGTAGAGGTCCATTTAAAAATTTAAATGCACAGCTGGGTGCAGTACAAAACATAGGCTTTTGTTAATAAAATGTGTGCACTAATAATATATAATTTATTTCAATTCCAGAAATGTCCTTTTGGAGCCTTGTCAATTGTTAACTTACCTAGCAACCTGGAGAAAGAAACAACACATAGATACTGTGCCAATGCCTTCAAACTTCACAGGTATTTTATTTTTCTGATATCAAAGAGACAAAAAATCCAAGTTTTTGATAGTATAAACGTAGTGCACATCAAAGCATTCTTGGTTCTTACCCCGGTAGCTTCCTTTTAGAATGTTAACTACATTTTTCTTATTAAAAAGTATTATAATGAAATAAATTAGTGTTAGGGATTATTTTACAGAGCCCCTATTTAAAAACAGACTGCCCTTAGGTATTTCTTATGCCCTTCTATTTTTAAGAAATTTGATATGATTTGGGTTAGATATTTGCAAGTTAACAGAGGCTGTAATAATCAGAAGGTCTGAAAATGGGTGGCAACATTTACTTGCCCACTAAATGTTGATGTGTGATGGCATAAATACAACACAAACTTATCAATGTTTTGTACAGGTTGCCTATCCCTCGTCCAGGTGAAGTACTGGGATTGGTTGGAACCAATGGTATTGGAAAATCAACTGCCTTGAAAATTTTAGCAGGGAAACAGAAGCCAAATCTTGGAAAATATGATGTATGTATCAGCAATAAAATAGAGTTAGCATTTTAGATAGCTGTTTATTTTTTTTGGACTGAATGTTTGTATCTGTGAATGTGGTAGATTTGTGGGGATGTTGGCACTTTGACTGTTGACAGCCAGTGACCTGCTCCACACAGGACCAGTAGTAGAAGGTTATTGCTAACAAGGGCCTTGCAAATTGTGTCTATCTCTCAAGAAAGATAAGGGTACTAATTGTAATTGTAACTCACAAAAGATAAAAATCAGAGGTAGGTTTCTTGAAGTCACACTTATGGGCTTGGGGTGGTTTTAATACCAGTCTTTAAAAAATGTCACATTTTTCTCCCTGCATAATTTACGTGCTCCCATCAGGGATTTCCATTGCCCAAGTACTGAAGTTTCTTATAAGTTACCTTTGTTTTTATCTGAACAGCTCAAGTGCCTATGAGCACTTACCATGTATCCTTGGAAATAAGACTTTCTGAGAACCAGACTTAAAATAACTTGTAATCTGCTGGTACTTGTAATCCATTTTTCTGTATGTTTACTCCAAGTCAAACTGCAGCCAGTGAGCAAAATATTTTACAAGGGCTTCTTTACCTAGCACTAGTCCAAAGAGTGAATACATTAGAGAAAAGGCATAAATAATAACTATTAGGACTCCTCTTATCAGTATTTCAGATGTTACTTTCTTACCTTCAGATTGCACAGGGACAATTGAATTCTGATGTACACTTCTGTCCTTCAAGAAGCACTTGTAAGAACAAGTGTATGGACACTTCCTTCAGCAGTTTCTTTGCCTGAAAGAGTAAAGTTTTAAAAAACTGTTCCTTCATGGCTGCTACCTAAAGCTGCAAAGAAATAGTCATTTCCCAGCTACATTTTACATTCTCTTTCAAGTTTTGTTTATATTATTTTGTGGACTTCTTGTTTCAGGTGGTAGTATTGCAGAAATAGCAAAACTTTTGACTTTCTGAATGTGTACTTAATTGAATTACCATGCTTCCAAAATCAGACTTTGCTGTGAAGGAGCCATATCAGTATGACCACAGAAACACGTGGTATGAATTGAATCTTCCATGTTGCTTCTGCTCCAAAACTGATGAAGCATTTCCTCTGTGTATTTGCTTGGTTTGGAAATATGACTGTGTCAGTCTGATTCCATACTGTTTATCATCAAAGTAATTAACTCAGCACCCCTCAGAGTAGTGCAGTGTGCAAGGGGGGACTTTTTCCTGGGCAATTGCTCTGAACAGTTTGGTTTTTTTTCAATTTGTCATTTTTCCTTTGGTTTTTTTTCCTTCTGTTTCCTTGGAAATGTTTGCTAGAAGCAGAGAAAATTACCAGATTTGTTGCATCTTCTGTGCTAGTTTGTGCTTTTATCATTCCAGTCCTTTTCCTTTGGATAGTATCAGATAGCTAATAAGTGTGGTTACACTAATCCATGCTGTCATTTTTCCCATGAAGTTGTTTCAGTTCAGTAGCTTCTTAGCTGTGCAAATTTTATTTTGAAGGTTAGTGAAACCTGGAAAAAGGAGGTCTCTAAAATTTGTTTTTAGAATGCTTTTGTGGATTTTTTTGGTTGTGTTCTCTTTAAAGCATATTCTATTTGCCTTATTGATTGGAATTTGAAATTAGGATTTCTTATTATGTTTTTAAATGGTATAAGTAAACCCAGGCTTTAATTTTGTCACAGGATCCACCTGACTGGCAAGAAATTTTGACTTACTTCCGAGGATCTGAATTACAGAATTATTTTACCAAGATCCTGGAAGATGACCTTAAAGCTATCATTAAACCTCAGTACGTGGACCAGATCCCTAAAGCTGCAAAGGTGAGGCATTTCAGCTGGGAGCTTCTTCTGTAGTACTTCTTATGTGTTTAAAGGTTTTATTTAGCAGCATAATTGAGAACTGTTTGCAATTTTTTATGTTGATTTGGGTTTTTATTGTTTATCATGCAGGGAACAGTGGGATCAATTCTGGATAGGAAGGATGAAACTAAGACACAAACTGTTGTATGTCAGCAACTTGGTAAGTAATTTTGTACAGTCAAATTTTAAAGCATTTGAGAAGCTCATATTTCCTGAAACAATCAAGTTACCATAATATGATAGAACCTGTAAATTATACCAACTCAAAGAGACAAAAAGTAAAGGTGCTTTAGTGTAAAGCCATGCTGTAATATAAATAACACAAATAATACTTTCTGGTGGCAAACTAGTTGATACATTCTAGTTAACAGAATCTAATGCAGTTTCTATTTCATAGTAGAAAGTGCTTATTTTTAAATCTGGAAAAATTCCACTTAACATCTGCTGCTCTTGCTTGCTCACAAATGTGGCAAAATCTGAGCATCCCCCTTTTTACACTGTATGTAAAAAATGTGATCCTAATATACCACACTCCCCCCAAAAGCTTGTCTGTATCTAATTTTAGTGGGAATAACACTGATTTCTGAGATTAATACAACTAATAAGAACATCTGCATAGTCCAGGCCTAGTAATGTTTTGTAGGTGTTTTATATGTAGTTGTTACTAAATTTAGTTGTTGCTAAATTCACAATGGGATTGGTTTTGGTAGAACTGGGTAATGAAGGTGGGGCTGCCATTGTATCACCAAGAATGTGGGCTTTGAGTCCCACTTAATTTATTAGTGACACAGCCTATTCTTGAAATGTGTTCATTAAGCTGCTTAGAAAATACCTGCTTCGCCCATCTGCTGTAAGATTTGAGGAACTTGATTTTCCTGAAAATCAGAACTCTCCAGCCAAGTCTGACAAGAAGCACTTTCAGAACTAGTATGGTTTCTTTTTAGGGCCAGAAATCTTTACCAGTGTGGTGGAAGAAGAAATAGAAATGTAATCCTTCTTCATGACAAGAAGCAGCCATGCAGCTAATGCTGCAGAGAAGCCATAGCTTGCTATGACTTAGTATTAGCAGTATGATACTGATGCTGTATAAAGTGAATGCTTATTCTCCTTCTGTTTTCTTTCCCTCTCTGTAGAATGTTTGCTATGTTTATACATGTTTCTGTAGGTAATAAAAATATGGATTGTTGTGTTGGTTATCACATACCTAAAATTAATCACTTATTTGCAGACTTAACACACCTGAAAGAAAGAAATGTTGAGGACCTTTCAGGAGGAGAACTTCAGAGATTTGCTTGTGCAGTTGTTTGCATTCAGAAGGCTGATATGTATGTTTAATTTACTTCTGTTACACATTGCTTGTAATAATCTGTCTCAGAATATGGTCCTCAAATTTACACATATTCTTAACAATAATATTTTGTTTGAAATATTGAAGTATATTTAAAAATTATTAAATAATGTTTAAAATTATTTTTAAAAATTCTGCCAGCTCATCAGCTGAAAGCCATTTTTATTTCATGTGTTATCTCTGGATTCTGTATACTTCTATTTATCCAAGTGGAAATAGCTGATTTCAGAAGCCAGTGTTAGATTTCAGCATCACAACCTCATAACCTCTCCCTAACCCCCCCTAAATGGATCCTGTTGGACAGCACACGTCCCTTAGCCTCTCTGAATGAGAAAGGTACAGCTGCTTCCCCACTTCTTAGAACTTGAGTCCCTCCTCTCCTGTCTTGCAAACAGGAAATTACTGTCTAATCTTTGTTGTTTCCTGACTCCTTGGGATCAAGAAAGCAAGATCAGAAGAGTTACAGGGTTTTGGTTTTTCTTGTTTTCGTGAATTTTTGGCTGGTTGGTTTTGTTCTGCTTGGGCTGCTGTTTTTTGATTGGTTGGTGTGAATTTCAAGTGGGTTTCCTTGTTCAGTTTTCTCTTTTTGGAAAATGTCCTTCCAGTCTTCTAAAGTATTTTTGCACTTTTTAGTTCATATTAAATGTAAGGTAACTCAGAGTGAGTGCATGGGAATCCTAACTGTTGATTCTTGTAACTTTTGATAACTTTGTCATAACTTTTTGGAAAGTAATACTTAACTCACTTTCAAGTGGCAGTCTACAGAGAACAAAGGCAGGTGTGCACAATTCTCATTTTTTGTCTCCCTTTCTCAGCTTAATGATTATTTTTTATTTCCATTGACTTAATGGTTGAAATGTTAATATTATGCTTGAATAAGTAGAAAGCTTGCATTCACTAAAACTCCACTCTTCCTTTTGGGATTAGCTTCATGTTTGATGAACCTTCCAGCTACTTGGATGTCAAGCAGCGCTTGAAGGCTGCCATTACGATTCGGTCCCTCATAAACCCTGACAGGTAAATACAAGCTTCAGGTGATTTGCCAGACTGTACTAATGCATGACTGCTTACAGAGGGAAGAAACATCCAGTCCATCCCCTCAGAAGTGTTCACTTCTCACTATGGTACACTAACAGATGTTTCAGACATTCCAAATCAGTAATATTCTATTCTTTTGCATTTTGGAAACTTACTTCCTGTAGTTTCTTGTCCCATTTCTTTCAGACATTCCAAATCAGTAATATTCTATTCTTTTGCATTTTGGAAACTTCCTGTAGTTTCTTGTCCCATTTTAAAATTTTGTAATAAGGATGGGAAAACATTCGTGGTTACGTTTCACGTGAATATTGCTGTCTTATCCCTTTCTCACAAAGATTTTTATTTTCTTTAAATGTGCTGAATATTTTTCACTCAAATCAATCAACATCCTTCCACTTAATGTACATAAAGAAGCTGCCAGTTCACATTGAAGATGGACCTTAAATTTATCATTCACAAGTTAATTGACAGTTTAAAAAATGCCTGTGAGAGATTTGAACTCTCTCCTTTTTTAGTATAAAGTGAAGAAACAATATTAACTAAAAATCATGTTGATAGCTCTTCTTTATGCAAGACTAGAGTAAGAAAAAAAGAAAGAAAAATGTTTTGCATTGAGGTAAAAAAGCATCTCTCTGGCTTTGTTTTTCAGGTACATTATTGTTGTAGAGCATGATCTAAGTGTGTTAGATTATCTCTCTGACTTTATCTGCTGCCTGTATGGTGTGCCAAGTGCTTATGGTGTGGTTACCATGCCTTTCAGCGTAAGAGAAGGTAATTCTTGCCATATTTCTCTTTATAAACTTCCCCAAAAAAGACAGCAAAATGCCAGTTTTCTGCTATATAAACATGTCCTCTTCCTGTTACAGTTCAGCAATGAAAAAACTTTGATTTTTTGCAGAATTTCTGTATTACATGATACTTAATTTGTAACTCAACCCAAAACCCTTCATTTTCACTTGCTATGGACATAATTTTGATACTTGCAGGTGTTTTGTAAACAGTGGAGTTACACAAACGACCCTGTAAGTAGTAGAGAAAGGGCAGGAGAGAGGTTGCACAATACAGAGGTACGTAGTGTTCAACTGAATTGACCCCACTTGTAGTACTGAGACTCAGTAAAAACTGGCTTTGAGAGAGTGAGCCCAACAGCAGGAGTTCCTTTAAACCCCACACACATCACTAACTGTGAGTTTTCAGGAAGAGCTGCTCCAGCCATTCTGTAGTTTAGTAAGGCTCTTCTTCATTCAATTTGCATTGTGCACACCTTAAAAGAAGAGGTCTTGTTGCTTCTTTTAACATAGCATTAAAAATGCAGCATTCTCATTATCTGAAAGGAATTTGCAGCCAGGAATTGAAATTCATCTTGTTTTACTTTGTTGCAGACCTCTTTTAATGATCTTTTTTCCTCCCATCATAGGCATAAATATTTTCCTAGATGGCTATGTTCCAACAGAAAATCTAAGGTTTCGAGATGCATCTCTGGTATTTAAAGTAGCTGAGACAGCTAACGAAGAAGAGGTTAAAAAGATGTGTATGTACAAATACCCAGGAATGAAAAAAAAGATGGGAGAATTTGAACTATCCATAGTAGCTGGAGAATTCACTGATTCTGAAATTATGGTGATGTTAGGGGAAAATGGTAAGTGCAATTTATGTTGGAAACTGCTTCTCCAGCCCTGAATATGCTCCTAAAGCCCTTCTTAATTTTGGGAGCCCAGCTTCAAAATTACTAGGTTTGAGACAGGTTGAGCTGCTTGTTTCCTAGTGAAGATATCACAGCATGATCCCCCTGACTAGCAAGAATGTGTAGTGAAGTTATTTTAACAGTGCCACCATGTTTGTTACCTACCCTGGTTTAAAAACTTAGGTGGCAGTTTTAAGATATCTCTTAGTGCTGTCTAGTGCTGGAAGATAATATAGGGATTCTCAAAGCAGTCTAATTTTAAAATATATTCTTTATTAAATAGTCTTAGTTGTTGTTGTATCAGTGACTTGTTAGAGGTCTAAATTACTAAAAAGTGATTAATGTGTAACTTGTATTTTATTTTATTTTAGGAACTGGCAAAACAACATTTATCCGAATGCTTGCAGGAAGACTTACACCTGATGAAGGAGGTAATGTGTTGCACCCAAGCTGAAACCTATTCTAAGGATACTGGAAATTCTCGTTTACATTATTAATTTTGTCTTTTTATAGGTGAGGTCCCAGTCCTAAATGTCAGCTACAAACCACAGAAAATCAGCCCTAAATCTACGGTATGTTTCAGCCTTATTTATTAAGTATCGTGTTTGCTACAAAACACACAGAAATTATTTTGTGCCTATTTTATATCTGTATCTATTTAGATATTTCTTTATTATTATTCTGTTTCTGCTCATTTTCTTGTGGAGCATAAAACTGAATGGCACCATTTTCCTTTTGCTAGGGAAGTGTCCGTCAGCTGCTGCATGAGAAGATCAGAGATGCCTATACACACCCCCAGTTCGTAACTGACGTGATGAAACCTCTTCAGATAGAAAACATCATTGACCAGGAGGTATTAATTGCTTGAATCAACATCCTCACTGTCCTAACTCTCAACCTGTAGGTGAACTAAGCATGGCCTTGTTTCCCCCCACCCCACCAGGTTCAGACGCTGTCTGGTGGTGAGTTGCAGCGTGTGGCATTAGCCCTTTGTCTGGGTAAACCTGCAGATGTGTATCTGATTGATGAGCCCTCAGCATATCTGGACTCTGAACAGCGTCTGATGGCTGCCAGAGTCATTAAACGGTGAGTGCACTTGCTGGGCAAGGAACTGAAATTTGCATTGTAGTATTATAATGAATTCACACTACTCTCTCTTCTTTTCTTCTTTCCCCTCTTTTCAGTTTCATTCTCCATGCTAAAAAAACAGCTTTTGTGGTAGAACATGATTTTATCATGGCTACATATCTTGCTGATCGTGTGATTGTTTTTGATGGCATTCCTTCCAAGAACACACTGGCAAACAGGTAAGAGATTTGTTTGGATTACTAAGTAAGATTGTCATCCTTGCCTGTGGAAGTTAAAGCTGCATCCAGGACTGTCCTGAGGGTTCTGACTTTTTTTTTGAATCATGAAACAGAAAATGGGATTCATCCTTACCGAGAGGCTGCCTAAGCCAGAGTTGGGGCAGGTTTGAGGAACATAACCAAACCCTCAAAAACCAGACCAGATTACAGAGACTTTTTAATGAGCAGCCTTATCAGAAAACAGGCTTTTAGAACAGTGAGTACTTGGCACAAGCTAGATGAAGTAAACACATTGGTCTGCCATGGCAATCCCCTGCTACCCTGGTGGTGTTCCTTCCAAGAACACACATGTTGGAATTCAAAAACCACAATCATTCACAGATATTTGGAAAGTTATGTTACGATCTTTGTTAGATTTTGCTTACGGTGCAAGTGCTGGGTCTTTGTTTCCTTGAATGTAAATAAGTGTGCCAGCACACACTTTGTAGATACAAAATAAAAAAAAAGGTCATAGCTGGAAGCCACAATGAGATACTGCTCTCATCTTTCAGCAGCATTAGAGATAGGGTTTGACTAGAAATGTAGCATGTCGTGGTATGTCAAATACAGCTCATATTTGCATTTCCAGACCTGAGTGAGCTCAGGATGGAGATCAAAGTTGCCTGTAATTGTAGGATATAAAATTTCTGAAAATATAGCTAAAATATTATTCTGTCTCAACAGTCCACAGACTCTTTTGGCTGGAATGAATAAGTTTTTATCTCAGCTTGAAATCACTTTTAGAAGAGACCCCAACAATTACAGACCAAGAATAAACAAACTCAATTCCATTAAGGTAAGAGAGGAGCACCTTTGCAGTACGAGAGCCATGATTGTTTGATACAAAGCCAGATTATAAAATATGGAACAAAATGAAGATTGACAGGGTAGTTCTGCTGTGCTGGAAAAACAGCATGTGAAACTGGTAAGAGTAATAAGGGAAGCAGAAAGGAGTTTAGATAAGTGTATTTTATTTCAGTTATGTTCAAGTCTGCCAAAGACTGCTTCAAGTAATGGTGACCTTTTTTCTCTTCCCAAGGATGTGGAACAAAAGAAGAGTGGAAATTACTTCTTCCTGGATGACTAAATATTGAGTCCCAGCATCTTTTTAACTGGCATCTAGACATGCATATTGGAATCTAAACAGCTGTGATGAGATGGCTCAGATCAGGTTTTAGAACAATTAATCTTTTGGAGCTTAAAATCTCTTGCTGCATTTAACATCTGAGATAGTTGCAGTAAACATCCTAGTCTGAGTAAAACTGCCACTTTCTATATTTTGGTGACACAGCCCTATTTTCAGTGTAATAATTTCAAAATAGACCACCTTAAAATTGTGCAAATGGGTCTCCTGATTTTTCAAAATTTAAGGGAGGTTTTCAATTCAATATATCCTACTCATGTACCAAGTACTGACTGAACTTTCTCATTTTAAAATAAATCTTTGAAGCTGTTTTCTGTATAAGAGGGAAGTTTACTAAGAATGTCATGCTGCAAGAGCGACTCCTCTTTTAAAAAGGTTGACTCTCTGGCCGAGGGTTTCAAAAATAAAATACCCACCTAACTTGTGACACTGCAGAATTTCTTCAATTACTAACTCAGAAGTGTGTCTGTTTATATGATGTCACACACCCTTTTCCCACACTGAAGGTAGCTACACCTTTTTTTAATCATCTGTCCCTGTGCATGTTCTCAGACCTAGTGAGATGAAAATAAGCAGTGAAATAATCCTAAAGAATATGAACATTCTTTCCATCTATCCACCTCACTCTTCCATTAAGTTTTTATAAGGCTAAAAGGAATTTTTCATAAAGTAAAAAGCTTTGATCCTTACTATGACAAAAAAGAAAAAAAAAGTTAAAGAAACCTTGTTAAAAACTTAGTTCCCTAGACAATAAGGTCCTTCAGGGAGCCAGAAGGAAAATTTAAAGGTTCCTGCTTACTTAAGCAGACGTGAAAAAACAACTTTCAGCTATGTGTCTTAAAAGGAAGGGTATTTTTTCATTCAGCAGTTTTATTCCTTCATTGACATGTGAAAAACATGATGAGAAGACATGGCTTTGTTCCATGTTTAAATTTTTGCCTCAGAAGCTACAAAGGAGTGGAGGTAATTTTGGCTTTTTGCCATTCTGTGTGTTAGCAACATGGTTATTTCACGACCTTGGCAGTACTGAGCATTACATACACACTGCCTCCCTCTGCCTTGTGACAGCAACGCCCCTGTACTACAGCAGCACAGGGACTCTGAAGAAGGGCAGGTGCTGAGTACAAGAGCCCTACACAACTGCACCGGTCAGACAAAAACTTCCAAAGGCTGACTAAACGTGTTCTCCTCTGCACAGCTTAACTCCCTTTGGACTGGAGCTGTGCAGTCTTCTCTGAATCAGTTGTAATATGGACAAAGATGTGGCTCAGCTGTGTGTCACAGCTGACTATATGCTGAATATGACATCTATTAACAGGAGGATCCTGCAATGTAAAACATCTTGCCACAGGCCAGAGGTTGGGCCAATCAGTCTACTACTACTCCTTCAGCAAGAGAGGAAACCAGACTTACTTGATCAGCATCAGAGAAGATACACCTACACCTTCCCATCCTTCACTGTCCTAGAGTAGCAAGGCACTGTAGGCCCAGGTGAAAGAAGTTGTTTTTTAAATGCAAATTCTAAAAGCATATCCCTCCCAGTTATTGCCATGCCTCTCTTCCCCACTGTTTCCCAACAGATTTCTGTAAGGAAGTGTTACTGGCTTCATTCTTGCAACAAAGCTTATGATGACCTAGAGGTGCTCTAGGACAGAATGATTAGTTCAGTGACTACTGCACAAATTTGGGATAGAGCTAGAGTTTAAAATTCACCAGTAAACTCAACAAGCAGCCTTCTATGATTTTGAAAGGAGTTGAAATACAGAGAATCGCAATGGTAACAATTAAATCCCTCAGTGCTTGCTTCATTCCCAACCTGAAAAAGTGAAGATTGCCTCTTTTGAAATCCTGAATGAAAAAGTATTTAGATTAAAAAAAGAAAAATTAAAAAAGCCTCCAGCATGCCCCCTACCCCTATGAACAAAGACTCCAAATGGCTTATTTTTGTTTGCTGCTTGCCATATGCTGTTCATCATTCTGCTGCTTACTACAACTGGCCCTTTAAGAACATTTCATTTAATGCCATTGCAACAGGTTTAAATACATACATATAATTTAGAAAGCAAGTGAAAAGACAAAACATTTATTTTAATTAGGTTTTATACATAGCATGCATCTGAAAACAAACTCTTTATCATGTAACTATCACTCTGGTTTCTGCACCAAGGGTGTACAATCTCAGACACAATGAATGGGTACCGTCACCTACACTACTGTATACAGAGATATAAAAATATACACAACAGTTCAATTTTACAGAGCAACAGAGCTGAGTGAATACTGTGCACACTGCACTCTCCGAGCCTGGACAGCTGAACATCCAGACTGCAAAGGCAACAGGAACACTGCGGAGATCGTAACTGGGCTCAGAAGAAACAGCATCAGAACTCTGACACAGTGTAAAAATATAAGGCAGAAGCCACTTTCTTCTGAATTGTAGGGAAGAGCAGAGCACAATGAGACTCTTCATTCTTATTTTAAAAGTAGTTCCAGCAAGGAGTTGTACATGCAAAACATCAACAGTGCAACAACAAAAGAATACTGAACAGTAGCTCAATCGTACAAACTTAAAAAATGTAACATGTACTTTATGCATCTCCTCACAAAATATCTAGGATTTGTCAGTGCATTAGTGTTAAAGTGGCATTAAAAAAACTTCTGCTATTATAACAGATGCAGAATTATTTTGGAAATGCATAGCATCTACATTTTTATTGTCTTTGTAATTATTCAGTTGGCATAGGCACCATTCTAGTCACACCAGCATTAAGAAGAATTCATGGTGGAAACAGCCATTCTTATCAGTTCATACACAGGTATTCTTGACTGCTTGTCTTGATTTTGATTTCAACAAATAAATGCTTTTTAAAATTCAAAAATATACCCTATGATTATGAAAAGAACTATATACAACATACCTAAGACACAGGGTTAGCTGGCTGCCATACGTGTAACACACAAGAGAAACATTCAAGTTTGACAGATATTTTTTTCTTTTTGAGATGAAAGGCCTTTGGGTTGGAAGCATATCAGAGACAACAGTGCAGTAGGCTGAGAATTCCTTTAGCTCAGTTCAGAACTAAGGCATTGTATGATAAAATATACATTTATATTTGGTGCAATGTTACTGTCAATTTTAGAATCTAGATCACATCAAATGCTGTCATTTGTCACTCTAGGAAACGCACATACCCATCTTCTATCACAAACGGAAACCTTTGTGGGGAAAAAAATTATCAAACACTAAGCCTATTTTTTTTTTCCTAATTTGACATTGAAGAAAAACTGCTAAGCCAAACAAACTCTAGAATCCCCCCAAGAACCCTATGGTAAGACTTTACATCCTCCTAGTCTTTACTTGCCAAAAATTAGCCCAAAATTAAACGTCATTGAACTTCACTAAAAAGAAATTAAGATTTTAAACTGCTACTTCAAATTACTTTTTGCTTCAATTTTCCAATTATCCACTCATTTTATGCTTGCTGCCCCCTCTGATTATCTCCCAGTGTTGCCCTTCTCCTGTCGTTCCTATATGGCTGCCCTCTAAAGTTTCTCTGATACTGGTAGCCGTCATCTCTGCTTCTGCTGGGTGGTCCTTTCCAGGCCTCCTCATTTCTTTGGAACTGGTATCCTCCCCTGCTGGAATAACCCCTGTCAGGTCTGGGCCTTCTGCCTCCTCCGTAAGTCTGGTTATAGAACTGCTTGGATCTGCCACTCCTCAGCATGTCGGAAACCTCGGTGTCATCTTCAGAGCTCTCCTCCCTCGTTCTCTGGGCCCTGCTTTCCGTCTGCACGTTCCCCACGCCCTTGGACTCTCTCCCTTTAGGAGGCCTCTCCTTCCGGCCGGGAGTGCCGGGTTTCAGTTCGTTTTTGGGAGGTTCTGCCAGCAGTGGCTGCGTGCTGGGCCCTGCCGTCGGCCTCTCTGGGCCCTGTGTCTGTGGAGGGCGATGCTGCTGCCCGGCTGCTTTCTGCTTAGGAGCGGCCGAAGGACAGGTTGGCTCCAGCTGAGGTGCCCTGGCCGAAGTGTCTTTCGGGGTCCCTGCAGCAGCCACTGGGATTGGGATGGTGTTGGAGCCACTGCTGTTGGTTTTCTGGAGCTGCTCCACACAGTTCACTCCCGGAACTGGAGGGCTGCATTCTTTGCCCACGTACATGCTGGCAGAGGTGCCAACTGCTGCCTCTTTGTCCTCAGGAGACAAGACAAGATTAGGTCTCGCTACTGAATTCTCAATGAAACCCTGAACTGGGTACCCATACCAGAAGTGAGGAAAGAAAGGAGGTGCTATTGGAACAGCTCCTAGAAAGTGATTGTGTCCAAAGGGCGGCTGTGGGAACACATTTTTCCCTCTCAGGGACTCCTCGTAGTTCGCATGAAGAGCTTGCGCTGGATTCTCCGGTTCGACGCAGACCTGTCCTTGACTTTCCGTCACCTGAGCTGAAGGTATGATCAGAGGCAGTGATGGAGATCTGTCAACCTGTGGAATCTGACCATTGGACCTGGCCTCGGTCTGGACAGCAAAGTGCCTGTTTGGTCGTGCAGTTTCATTTTCGTTCTGAGCAGGAGCAGCCTCCTGGAACCAGGGGTTGTGTGGATACACAGGAAGGGACACGTTTGGGTACATTCTACAAGCAGCTAGATAGGCCTGGTGCAGGGGGTACAGGTAAGAATGGGGTGCCCACATGGGACAACTGTATGCCTGCAAGACAGCAGGGAAAAAAAAATTAAATCAGTTATTTGGTCTTTTGAATGTTCAGAGAGACATAAAAGCACATCAGTAATGTACTATTTCAAAACAGTTAATTTTAGGAGATAAAAGTGAATTTTCTTTACAATGACTGCCCTCAATTCTAAATCATACGACTCTAGGATGGTGTTCTTATTGTTTTCCTTCCAAATGCAGTTAAAATGGGCAACAGTTACAACCAGGAAGAAAACTTAGTAACGATTTCTATGTGGTTAAAGACAGAAAGCTTGACTTAGTAAATCATGCTCTAGTTATGTGTTTGAAGAGAAACATTTCAAACTCATTTTCCAGAATCACACTTACTAAATGGCAATTTCTTCTACTAGACCACACTTTGCAAAGGCCACTACACTGAAGTTGTCCACCTCAGGTGGTGGCCCTTTCCCTTTTCTCTACCTCCACGTTAATAAACTGGACTCTGTAGAAACAGTTCCTGGAGAAAACCATCCTGGAAAGCCTATGCAGACCTCTGCAGGAGCCCCTTCCCTCTCAATGTGCAGTGGAAGGGTGTGGGCAGGGCAGGGTTTGGAGCAGAGCAGCAGACAATGCAGAGGGTATTTCCTGGGCCTGCTGTACCCTGTGACACCAGCAGAGCAGCACAGCCACTAGAACGAGGGCTGGGACCAGCAGATGGTGCTGAAGCACCAAACGACAGGCTAGAACCTAAATAATCCACAGTAGCAGTAAGG